GTCAGGTATTAAACTCAGAGCTCTTTGGGACAAGTCGCCTTCGAATGACTCAGCCAGCGCTTTTATCCGCCATTTGTCTTAGTTAGTGAATTCTAGGAACTTATATACCTAATTTCTCAATTTATCACTTTCTTACCATCTTACTGATCCCATATTGTATACACAGACATGACAGAATTGAATAGACACCAAGATAAATTTTATTTCTGATTTTTTTTTAATAACCAAGATAAATTAACTTAGATTATTTGATTCAAATTGCAGATAACAATACTGGAACATGCCACGAACCAAAGGAGCATCAGACCTATCTGAATTTCAGCGAGAACGTATCGTGGACCAACATGAAGGTGGTCTTAGTCATAGAAAAATATCTGAAAATCTTTCAATAACCCTTTCTACTGTTAATAGAGTGATCGTACAATTCACCAGAGAGGGCAAGAAGTGCACAAAACCTCATCCAGGCCGCCCTGGGCCCTCTGAAAGAACCATGCGTCTTGTCGAAAGAAATGTTGCAAGGCCTCTGACATAGCAACACAAGTTGATGTCAGTCCCAGAACAGCTGTCAGGTATCTTCACAAGGTGGGCTACTATGGCAGAGCTGCGAGAAGGAAGCCATTTCTCCGTCCAGCCAATATCAAACGCAGAAAGGATCGGGCTCATGAGATTGTGGAGAGACCTGTGACCTTTTGAACCACTGTCATTTTCTCTGATCAGTCAAGATTCGCATTATTTTCCGACAGTGGAAGCGTATGGGTATGGAGACTCTGTAGTCAAGAGTTTGATTTAAAAAGACTGCAGCCAACGGTGAAACATGGGGGGGGGGCTTTCAGTAATGGTATGGGGTGCAATTTGGAGCGATGGTCGCTCAGAGCTTGTGGAGTGTGAAGGAAACATTAATTCAACCAAATATGTTTCTATATTAAAGAAAGGGTTCGTTCCAATATTCTCAAGTAGTAGAATGAGCAAAGTTGACTCCCTATTTATAAAAGATGGAGCTCCATGTCACACTGCTCAAGCAATGCAACATTGGTTGAGACAAAATGGGATAAGTTAACTTCCATGGCCAAGTCAGTCCCCGGATATTAACCCTATTGAACACCTTTGGGGCATATTAGATCGAAAACTTCGCAAAAAGAACAGGAAGCCATCTTCTAAGCCCAAACTTTAAGGATTATTGCGTCAAACATGGCAAAAAATCCCTCAAGATGATATTCGTGAACTCATCGCTAGCATGCCTAGAATGGTCCTTGCATTAAAAAAAGCAAAAGGGATGTCAACCAAGTCTTAGTTATTAAATTTATGACCATTTATAATTACTTCATTTGTATAAATTACTTGTTTAATAAAATAAACGGTTTCTGTGAGCGTCTATTCAATTCTGTCATGTCTGTGTAGATTTCTATGCTTAGCCATCGTAGGAGATTTTTATAGTCTACTACATGTGCTGATTCATTAAGTTTTCGTATTTACCAGTGATGTTCTGTCTTTTATTTTAACTTTATCACACAGAAGGCGGTGTTCTCAGTTGTTCCTCTATATATGATCACCAATGACTGTTTCGCCACGTGTTGCCAAGGGAAATTAACTGAAAATGATATATCCCAAGCCATAGCAAGTGGAATTAGAACAATCTACCTCCGTGAACTAAATAAAGGGTTCGGTTCGATATTCCGCTTAATATGACCTGACGAAAGCCGGAACATACAACGGTTGAAACGTCATGAATATAGTAATAAAGATAACAGCTGTCTGAACACTGTAAATTGTGTAAATAGTTACAATACTTTCATCTTAGACATATAGACAGATTTTGGGCATTAATTCTTTTCAGACTAAGAAGTTGTACGTGAATTAAGTTCTGGCCCTAATTTGAACTTCCATGAAAAAGTTTTCAGAAGCAATCTGGGGAGACTTTCTTAAAGAAATGAACAATATTTAACTATAATAAATTATGACCAGTACTGGAATTCTTTAAATTAAAAAAAAATCCTCGTTGCTTGTAAATTAAATTTATTCCTTGTCTTTTGCTGTTTTCTGACGCTCTATTTATCTATCTATACGTTTGAAGTTTTCCGGGCGAGTCAAATATATGAAGCCATATCTTCCGTCTCCTCTGCCACGGGTTAAATAGCAGGTTAAACTATGATCTCTAGCCTTTCTTGACAGCCAGCTAATGAGGACAACTATGAGCACAAGACCAGTAACACTTCTCTGTAAAACCTACTTGGTACTGCAAGAACAGCACCAACACTTATCCTGCTTTGTCTGGGTTCTTTTGAACCGCAAGGAATATTAAGTTATATAGCTCTTAAAAATATATTTAAATTTAGCACTGTTGAATGACAAGCTAATTCTACAAACAACAGCCACCTGCGTTAATGCGAAGCTCTTCAGTAAAATGAATAGAGCACAACGGCTGATTGACATTTGTTTACATTTGTAAACAACAAATGCCGAGATTTAGCTGCCTTATTCTGTAGAAACTGTGATTGAAACCAAATCGGATGGTATTCAATCCTGGCTTGAGGCATTCGGTTGTCTAGTCGCACTGAAGAGCTGTGATACAACGAAACAGTATTGTCTGCGAATGACACACACACATATATATGTATAGGCAGAAACCTTTCTTTTAAACATGTTTCATTAAATATCGCAGACAAGAAAGATTATTTTTTTTATTTAGTTTTTCCAGTCTCCTGTAAGAGTATGGTAGTACAGAAACTGTCAAAACATGGGGAAAAACTAACAGCGCCAAAAACAAAATGGCTAAAGAAGTGGCCAAAAGCGCTTGGGACAAGAAAAAATATGGAAAATTTCTGTACTTCCTTACTCTTAGCAAACGGAAAAACGTCAGGATGCTGGGAAAATTAAATAAAAAAAATAATTCAATCTTCCTTGTCTGCCATATTTAATGAAAGTATATATATATATATATATATATATATATATATATATATATATATATATATATATACCTGGGGCCTGACAATTATTAGCTAAATATTTATTTCAAACTTTCACTATAAAATATTCAAACTGTGTGATTAATGATGGGCTGTTAGGTTTAGTGCATTGGCACATATGTATTGAGGAAAGTAAATGTTTTCTGTTCAGTTATGAAATTACTGAGGTATTTATATATAAGCACAGCTGTACACAAGATATTCTATAAGAGCATTCACACATATGTATGAATGGTATGAGAATAATCCCCGAATTATAGTCAGTGAAAACCGCTTGCATACGGAGAAAAATGAATAAGTAGTCAGCAAAGCAAAGGAGTAGAAAAAAAGAATTTTTATTGGATTTATTCAACATTCTCAGTGAGATGATCCTAAGAGAACTAGACGTCCTGCTAGGATCAGGAGCAATAATATCGCTGATTCTTCTATGGAATTTATCAAGGAACTCTTGATAAATAGCAGGAACACCGGACCATATGTGGCAGCAATATTCTAAGCATGGACGAATGGTAGACTTATAACTACGTAGGATGGATTCTGGATAGAAAACTTGCCTCGCACAACACACTACCACCCAAGTTTTTAGCAGCGCGCCTAGCAATAGATTCAATATATTTAATACCAGTTCTCGTATATGACTGTGAATTCCGGAAATTTTTCTAACAGACGAAGAGGAGACTAGACAACAAAGATGTAGTTCTACAGTAGGATGTTAAGAATTTTAGAATTAGAAAAACCAGTTGAAAATTGTGAAACGCGTAAGAATGTTGTCTTGATCCTCACATGTTATATTGAAGATTAAAGGTACTGAACAAGCAAGACAAAATAGGGATCGAGAGGAATTGTAAAAAAAGAAAAGCATTGCTTAAAGCTAAAGAGGAGAACTTGTGAAGAGTCATAATCGTCCACGTCCTGAAGGTGTGCAATACATAAAATAATAATATTTAAAAAAAAAGGAGAGTATCGGGTGTTATATGATCTTAAAAAACTAGAAAGAAGATTAAAAGAAATCACAAATAACTGTATAATTTTCCCAAGGGCATGCAGTCTCTGTAAAAATACCATCATTGATATACTGTGTTCTTCAAAGCGTTTGAAATCTTGCCACACGCACAATTTCCTGTCCTTTTTATCTCTAAAGCATCATTTGACACTTGTCCCTGAACTGCCGTCCAGTCGCACAAACTAATTAGGTAGATTCCACGTTTTTCCTCTCTATCTTTCCATTCCACAGTTCTTCCCGCGAATAATAAATTTTCCTAGGCGTCATTCCTCATAATGTGTCGTTGAATTTTCACCTATTTAATTTAAAATACGAGAGACTTTTTCGTTTCCATTTTCTTCAGACCGTCTTCGTAGCTCGCGTGATGGTCCTTTTATGAACACAGACATTTTCTCAAGTGGTTTAAGACTGCTGTAACAGTCTGCTCCTGTCTTGTGGAAATATATACATTCTTTCATATCCATTGTCATTTTACGTTCAAGTACATAAAACGTTCGATTGCGTAATAAGTAAAAACTTTGAATGTCACTCGCACATGCGTATAACTCTTTAAAAGCACAAGAAGATCGTTGAGCAGTCTTTTCCTATTTAGTTGCTTCTACAGAAATAGATTCAAACACGCATGCGCACAAATAGCCATAACCGGGAAAGGAATGAATTCTGTTTTTATTATTTACTTCTCGTCTTTTTTCTCCCTCACACGAATTAGATATTGTGTTTTATTTTTGTTTTTTATTTCTTTGTTTTTCAGTTTCTCTTCTTTTCATTCTGTCTCGCCTTGTCTTTCTTTCTAATTCAGTATTCTCTCAATCTCTCTCTCTCTCTTCTCTCATTCTCTCTCTCTCGTTTTATAAAAACCTATACGTACTTTCTTTCTTTTTCTGTCATTTTCTTCATTTCTCTCTTTTGTTTCTTTTTCCTTTCTTCTAAATTACTCTTCCGTTGTTTTTTTTTTCAGCCATTGTTCTCCAGCTTATTTCTTCATTTTTGATTCCCTTCTCTTTCTTTCCTTTAAAGGCTGTCTGTCCTTTATGCTGTCTCTTTCACTTTTCGCCCTCTCTTCCCTTTACCTTTTCGACCCCTCTCTCCCTCTTCATTTTCTCTCCCTCTTCAATTTCTCTCCCTCTTCAATTTCTCTCCCTCTTCATTTTCTCTCCCTCTTCATTTTCTCTCCCTCTTCATTCTCTCTCTCTCTCCCTCTTTTTTCCTTTTCTCTCTCTCTCTCCCTCTTTTTTCCTTTTCTCTCTCTCTCTCCCTCTTTTTCCTTTTCTCTCTCTCTCTCCCTCTTTTTCCTTTTTCTCTCTCTCTCCCTCTTTTTCCTTTTCTCTCTCTCTCCCTTTTTTCCTTTTCTCTCTCTCTCTCCCTCTTTTTCCTTTTCTCTCTCTCTCTCTCCCTCTTTTTTCCTTTTCTCTCTCTCTCTCTCCCTCTTTTTTCATTTTCTCTCTCTCTCCCTCTTTTTTCCTTTTCTCTCTCTCTCTCCCTCTTTTTTCATTTTCTCTCTCTCTCTCCCTCTTTTTTCATTTTCTCTCTCTCTCTCCCTCTTTTTTCATTTTCTCTGTCTCCCTCTCCCCCTCTTCATTTTCTTACTCTCTCTCTCTCTCTCTCACTTCATTCACCCCTCTCTCTCACCATTTCGCTCACTTTTTCTTTTTCTTGCTCTCTCAATCTTCTCTCTCTTGATTTTACTTTCTCTTCCACTTTTATTTTGTCACTTTTCTTCTCTCTCCCTCTTTAGTTTTCGTTCTTTTCTTCTTTCGTTCTTTTCTTCTTTCGTTCTTTTCTTCTTTCGTTCTTTTCTTCTTTCGTTCTTTTCTTCTTTCGTTCTTTTCTTCTTTCGTTCTTTTCTTCTTTCGTTCTTTTCTTCTTTCGTTCTCTCTTTCCTCCTCCATATCCCTCTATCTATGTATTTCTGATTACACACTTTTGATAATCATCATACACTTTTCGTTTTATAAATTTCTTACACTGATTTTCGTAACATTCAACCTACTTTTTATTTTTTTTTTGTTTTGTGTTTTCGTTTTTTTTTTCTTTTTCGTATTCAACATTTCTGTCTTTTTGCCCTCCTCCGCCCATCACGTTCTCTCTCTCTCTCTCTCATCCAAGTGCACTCTCTCTCTCTCTCTCTTTTCTTGTTGACGTCCCCGGACTCTATTGCTGTCAATATAAGTTACACACTTGTTCTGAACTGAACGTCTAATCTCTCGTTGCCACAAGTTCATCGCCGTGCTCGCATACAGAAAAGCGGGAAGAAAAACGTCGGGAAAGACGTAGAGGAGGCGACAAATTCGCTGAGGTATATGAACGGGGACTTGTGCTGGCAACAAATGCGCTCTACTAGGGTAAATAAGACACAGAGGTGGCGATGGAGGTTGAAAAGAGACAAAGAAACGGGAAATTCTCACAAGGTGGTTATTCAGTGCAAGAGACAAATCCACTATTTATTGATACGTATTTTTACACGCACATCTATATCTTCAGAAATACGTATGTGTTGCTTTTGCGTGTGGAGGCCATTGCTTGTATGCTTTTATATTTCACTCGACATTCTAGGTATATTTCTTGATGCACACAGAGATAATTTTTACGTTACTTTATGTCTGAAAGTAGACGTTTATCAATTTAATAATATTTTGTTTCTTAATATTTGTAAACACATGTGAGTATAGAGACGCATACATTATATACATTCCCCCAAAATATTACTATGGAAGCAGCTGAATAATTTTGCAAAAACAACATTTAAATGCGTTTATACTAAAACATCACAGATAGAGGACAGCTCTTAAAAATGGAAATCACTTCAGTCGTACAAGTTTGTGCATCCATTCTGCTAATCATGACGCAACGACAAATATACCATAAATTAATACATTTGTTAAGTGACACAGTCTCTATCCAGGGTGCAATGGACAAATTGTAGAAATTAAGCAAAAAATAAAAATAACACTGACATCTTATTTTAAAAGATATATATTTAACAAAATTACACAAAAAATATCTTGAAATGCTAAAGAGTAAATTTATTCGAGAAAATCGCGATTGCTTTCAACCACAATCTCAAGACGACTTCGGAATCGCCTGCAACTCTTCTCGACGGTCTCCTTGTTTAAGTTGGTAAATGCTGCCGTAATCCCTGCCTCTAGTTCATCTTTGGTGTTACAAGGAGTTTTGTTGGTCCCTCGTTCAACTGGGCCCCACACATAATAATCAAGATGGTTGAAGTCTGGGGAGTTAGGTGGCTGGATGTAAGAGATGATGTGGTTGCAGAAATTGTCTGACAACCATGACTGGGTTCTTCTGCTTGTGTAGCATGGTGCATAGTCCCGTATCCAGACATAGGGTTTTTCAGCAGTCACCCTTGACCCAGAGCAGCACTACCTTCTCAAGGGACGGTATTGGCCTCCGTGTTGAGTCTGAGGCCCTGTGGGAAGATTAATGGAGGCATAACGTCGCCATCACTAGTGATTACTCCAAACACCTTCGTAATCACCATTAGATTCATTCATCACATTTTGAATCCTCTACAATGTCCTCAGATTGATGCCTAAAAACTCTAAAATGTTCGTACTGGATCTTTTGGCGCGAATGCAAAGCAGTACAGCATGACGTTTCCAAATTTCTGGCGGCGTGAATTGCATTATTATGCACTTTTAAACACAGACGGTGAGCAGTTGAACCTACTATATTGTACAATCGACAAAATAAAAGAAAACAGGGAGGGTTGAAGATCAGAGAAATTAAAAATATAAAACGACGACAATACTCTTCACACCCAGTGTGTGTGTGTATATATATATATATATATATATATATATATATATATATATATATATATATATAATTGAGTACTCGTGCTAATAAAATGGTTTTCGATGTATAAGAAGAGCAAAAGTTCATATTAATAATAAATATACAATTTTTTCTCATCGGTTTCAAAACTCTGTGTTCCATGCACGATGCAATCGTCAGGATCTGATTGTAAAATGACTGGTCCGTTTTCAATTAGCACCTGACGATTATATCGTGCATGAAAGTTGTGCTACCATTAAGGAAGAAAATGTATATTAACGTGTGTGTGTAATAAACTAATACGACTATATATAGTCACTTTAATGGCTAGGGCGACCTGTTGCAAACGAATTCTCTGTGTGTTTGTTAAACATCCACTGAACCCAACTTACTCATGATGAACTTCGACCTCTCTAATCTAACTTTCTGTCCTAATATAATAAGTTCTCTTACAGGTTTCACGTACGATTTTCTTTTCAAGTCTTTTTTCACTACTCTTTGGAAAGCCATAGATAAACTCCTCTCTCACGTGAGTATTTAATTATATAAACTGGGGTTTGGGATATTATTGCAGTCATTCCTACAGCTTGAAACCAGCATTCCCACAGCCCACCAGCTAGTGATTAATAGTAATATCTCTAGTCTTTATTTGCAAACAGTCTAACATAGGAACAACTCTAAATTTATAGTCGGTTGGGCTTCTGTCTAGTAATTCCTTATCGTAAAAACCTGTTTAATAAAAAGAGACATGCCTAACGTGGTAAGACTGTATTCCACTAATGATTTTAGATTAAGCGGAACTAAACCAGGAAATAACTCAAATAGCCAACATATACGAAAGATGAAACACTTTTGTATGGTCTTCGATTTTCTGCAGTTCTTACGCGCTTTCATATGATTTTCGGACCTACTACTAAACCACCTGCCCTGTTTGGTTTATTTTGTTTTACGGCATATCAACCTCAATGGGTTATTTAATCCCGACAATATTTTTAGGATAGGTTCGTATGAACAGAATATATATTCTTTATAAGGAATCAGCTTGTAGATCAGGTTTCATTCAGACATTTTTATAAAGAGTGTTTTTGTCGAGCGTCAAATCTGTTGATGGTAATATTTTTTTTCAAAATTTATTGTTAGCAATATTTGTTTTTCAAAAATGTATTGCTGGTATTTTTATTATTTCATAGTGTTGTGACCCCACTTTTGGGGTTAAAACTATATCTATAGCTGTGACGCGAACAGGTGGTACCACCGCGGGTCAGAGTGGATCTAGGGAACAACAGCAATTAAGATGTGGTTTCACGCTCTTCCAAACATCCCGATCAGCATCGTTCTCTTGCTTATTTCTTCATTTTTGGTTCACTTTTCTTTCTTTCCTTTATTAGCTTCTTTCACTTTCGCTCTCTCTCTATTTTGCTCTTTGCCCTCTCTCTGTCTTTCACGTTTCTCCCTCTCTCTGTCTTTCACGTTTCTCCCTCTCTCTGTCTTTCACGTTTCTCCCTCTCTCTGTCTTTCACGTTTCTCCCTCTCTCTTAACCTTCTCTCTCTCTTAACCTTTTCTCTCTCTCTCTTAACCTTTTCTCTCTCTCTCTCTCTCTCTCTTAACCTTCTCTCTCTCAACCTTCTCTCTCTCTTAACCTTCTCTCTCTCTTAACCTTCTCTCTCTCTCTCAACCTTCTCTCTCTCTTAACCTTTTCTCTCTCTCTCTCTTAACCTTTTCTCTCTCTCTCTCTTAACCTTCTCTCTCTCTCTCTCTCTTAACCTTCTCTCTCTCTCTCTCTCTTAACCTTTTCTCTCTCTCTTAACCTTTTCTCTCTCTCTTAACCTTTTCTCTCTCTCTTAACCTTTTCTCTCTCTCTCTCTCTCTTAACCTTTTCTCTCTCTCTCTCTCTCTTAACCTTTTCTCTCTCTCTCTCTCTCTCTTAACCTTTTCTCTCTCTCTCTTTCCATTTTCGCTCTCTTTTCCTTTTTCTTGCTCTCTCAATCTTCTCTCTCGTTATTTTATTGTTCCACTTTTATTTTGTCACTTTTCTTCTCTCTTCCTCTTTACTTTTCGTTCTTTTCTTTTTTTCTTTCTCTTTTCTTTTTTTCTTTCTCCTTTCTTTTTTTTTCTTTCTCTTTTCTTCTTTTACTCGCTAAACTGTGACTCTAACAGATGCTGCCACCGCGGGTCACAGTGGACCTGGGAACATCAGCAATTAAGATGTGGTTCCACGTTCCTCAAATCATCCCGATCAACGCCTTGCTGCCAGATGTAGCTTATCGTCATACCCACGATGACTTGCTTTTTTCACAAAGCTTCCAGCACACGGTTATGATCAATCGAGCCTATTTCGAATTGCTGTCATACGACCTTTGATGACTAGCAAGTATCTAATTATATAATTCTCTACCACAGATGTTGCAAGCTGCTAAAAAGACGTTTCAAGATTTCATCATCAGTCTTTTTTCCTCGAACGCCTAACAATCAACATTTAACATTGCCCTCCCCAACAATCAATTTTATGTCAAACTTTCTCTGCATTAATAAAAGTGTTTTCAACAATAAACCTGTTTGTTACTGATATTTATTGCGTAATATCTCTCAACGAAATAACTGCTTTGGTAATCTGTGTGTTCCCATTCTAATAAGGTACCCTGCCCATCTCATATATACTATACTTCGGGCGATTTTCTTGGTTTCTCGTCCATGTTTAAATTATCTGTAACTTCGGCTTTCATTGGTCAGTATCAAAGAGACTTTTATGAATGAAACTGTTGGTTGGCTTGGAAACGTTGTTTTGAGTTTGTTTTTTGTTTCACTTTTTTTTTAATTTCAGGATCTGTCTATATTTCCGAGATGAGGTATTATGTACACAATTTACATTACTCAGACTATTGTCCTCATTTTTGTTGCCATATTTATCACAACTTTTCGGCCGTTGTACGCTCCGGCCTTCTTTAGGTGGTTGGAATGTCGAACCGAACTGTTTATTTCGCTCGCTGGGGTAGACTGTTCTAGTTCCACGTGCCAGGTCTAATGGATGTCAGTTATCAGTTATCTTCTGTTAATTCACCTCCCCAATTTCTCCACTGCCTTAACCAGGTATTGAACTCACTGTGGGTCCTGTCACTGGATCTAATCAACGCTTTTATCTACTGTGCCATGTGTCCTTAAGCGTAATGTAAATAGTATTTTGTGTTTTTTTTTTTAATTTATTTTACTATAATGTTTACACTTTGCAAACGCGTGAGAGATACCGTGTAAGAGGCAAAGTTTATGGGGATATATGGGGAAGATGATGGTAAACCCTAAACTTGAACAGGTTAAGATTGTGGTAATCGGAGAAGCATCTTCTAGAGATTCGTTTTCATAAAGCAGCAGTACATGGGAAGAAGGTGCTAGCGAGGAATTTACAACTCGACAGTAGAATAGGAAGTGAATGATTATTGTTCGCTACTATGAGTGGTGGTACGCATGGTCTTTGCCTTGAAGGTTAGAAATGGTCGAACTTAGGAGTGTAGTTCGTCTGAATACTTTCCATGAAAAGAACGATAGATTAACGAAAAGCTGGCAATGTCTCATCTGTGGGAAATGGGTTGCAAAGTGGAAAATACTTCATCACCCACAAGAATGCGGAGACGCTTTTGGACCCTATCAAGACTGGAAAGTGAAGACTGATCAGCTCCTGAGAAATATTTTCGGACTGAAAGAATAAAAATGCAGCCATATATTACAAAACTGGAATTTATTCTTTAACGACGTACATCATTATTAACAATAAAAAAAAAAAAACGGATGGAAAATTTTTTTTTATCCATTCTTTCTAAAATTTAGGATGTTAATATTTTATTTATTATTTTTATCCGTTGAAGTTTTTTTTTTTGTCATCTGAGTAATTGAGAATTTTACTGTCGAGAGACGAAAGCGTGTAGGATACTGTCAAAGATGTCATCCTCACACTTTGATCATAGTTTTTCTAGTGTTATTTTTCTGAATGTGAGCCTGTGTTCCTATTACGAACAACAACAAATCACTGTATATTTTTAATAATGTATTAATTTTAATTCGATATTCCAATGGTCACTGGAGATTAGCCGTTTTCAAAGAGGAAATATTTGGCAGTCATTGACGGAAAATTTAGCGCCGGTTATAATTTAACTAAATCATGTTCTAAAAAGAAGTCTTCTGGCTCTTTCTACTATTTGTGAAGGTTTCCTTCCTAATTTTTTTCTTAATGTAGTGTGAAAATTCAACATCTGGATTATACCATTATTTTCCCTTCTCGATGAATGTGCTAGGCTTTTAGTAGTTGCTGTTGTTTTTTAACTTTTCAACTGACATTTGGTAACTTTTTGGTGACTTTTTGAACTTTTCAAATGACTTTTTCCAGTTTAAATTTGTAAATTTCTTTGTGATTATGTAGCGCCAGTGCTTAATATATGATGAAGTATTGTCTTATTTAAAACTAAAAGTATTGAACGAACGCTGTGCATGGCCTCTATATGGGAATCTACATCTTACAGGACTATTTAAGAATATGACTAGTTTGTAGGTGAATATATTCTGGCTTTTGTAATGTTAGACAAATTTGCCCCTAATGTAGCCTAAATTTCTTATATCTCATCATTACTGTGAGATCTTTAAGGTATTAAGTTGTTTTTTTTTATCATTTCACCCCCTAAACTAGACGATAATGCCACTAAGGTGAAAGAGATTATTGGGAGTGAAAGAGAATGAGAATATTTTAATGAGCAGAAATAAAAGAACAATGTTCAGGAAGTTAGAGGACGGCGATTGGAATCGCAAATTATTATTTCTAGATTGTAGATAAAACGGAAACAATAAGTCGGAAGAGAGTTCCTCAAGTGAGAAATGCGAGAAAAGAGTTCCACAGTCTAAGTTTTCGTAATCGATTCAGTGTGTATGATATGAATACATTAATTTCAGTTCCAGATCATGGTATAGGCTTTGGAAAGGTTTATCGCAAATCAAACTTATTGGATCACTTGGTAAATAATGTTGATTTTTTTTTTCATTCACGATAATTTTCATACGAACTGTGAATACATCTGGTCAGATTAATATTTCATCTAGCAAAAGTTCATCACAGACGAAATTTAGCATATTCCATAGATTGCTTATCAGTTGCATACATAAGAGTTTGGGAAAAGTGCGTAGAATTTGAAGTTAAAATAAGTTTCTACCTAAAACTTGCACAGTTCGTGTGACATCAATGTTTATCATTGTTAATATTTACATTTATTTTATTATTTCCTAATTTTATTCGTCCCTGGAATCAGGATTGTTTTCCAAACAATATTTTTACATGTAGAAGATACATTTATATTGTGTCTTTAAAAGACATTTAAATAAATAAATATACATTTCTATTTATTTTTTTCTGTAAATGTTGTAACCTAGAAAAGGTTACTGAATGAGGAATAACCAAAACGGAGGTTGGAAATGAAAGGGTAATTTTTATAACATCAACAAAATACAATACTCGCCAGCGGCGTGAAGTAGGGAAACCACTGCTAGTGGTGAGCTACTTCGACATCATATTACCTCCACTTACAATAGTGTCCAGCGTATTTCTGAGGATTGAGACATACCCATTAGTCTTCGTAGGTACGGTATATAACAGTGAATAAATACCTTCTTTAAAATCAGAACATTCTTTGCCAAGAGGAGCCATTTTTTAAATATTCTTTGTAGTAGTTATTTTAACGTAGCGTACGTTAATTTTTGTCTGGAATGAGCTGTTACCGTTATTTATATGATTTATATCAGGGCTCCTAACTTCATACTTGTTATTATCGCAACCTTTCAACTGCTGTGATAATGATATAAATAATGTAAATAGAACTCTTTAATTTCAAATTTACTTCAATCTCTTCTGAACAAGATTAAGTTTGAAAAGATAATTAATTATATAAAATGAAACCAACATTTTTCATATGGGTGTACTCAGGTTGGGTTAATATTCATGCTTTTGGTTACAAATTTTCAGTTTTGTTGTTCTTGGCAATAAATAACACATTATAATATCCTAATAATTTAAATGCGTAATGTCCTAAAGAATGAAAACTCTGCTATTTTTTTTTATTTAAGCGAAAACAAACTTTTATAAAAGTTATATTCCGTACTAAGGGAATAAATACTTAACACCAGGTGGAGAGTAGAAGGAAGGTTTATTGTACACAACCATTTAAATATGAAATACAGTACCGTTACAAACACAGGTCAATCTAGAAGTGAGTGCCACTAATTGGAAGGTCAGACGTGCTTGGGTCGTCTCGCTCTCGCTCTTCCCCGAGTCTCACGTAGACAGTTGAATTTATAGGTACTTACTACCTATAGAGTAATCATTCATAGGGGTGACTGGTTATTCCATTAATCAATAAAAATAATGGAACTTACTGCCACATCACGGGTCTGGCCAGTACCTTGATATCTTACCACTTGGATATATCAGACGCAGCAAGATTGGATCTGCGGGTTGTGTAAATGATAATGGCTTGGAATTGTTAATCAGAGTGCCGAGTTCCAATTCCAATTGAGTTTGGGAAAGGCATGAATCTTCTTCTTCCCCAACTATGGGTTAATTGATAAAACTTTTACCATTACACTACTATTATCTCAAGAAAAGAAATCTTACAATCTAAAAATAT